ATTTTATATATGTATATATTGCATATGTTACCCACTGGCAACCCAGTGCTCTCACTGAAAATCAAACATTTGGACCCTTTTCAAAATGACATGGTATTTAAAAGATTTTCACAGTCTTTAAACATTTTGGGACGTCACCACCACAAGCCTCGGTGATTTTATATACATTTAGTGTAACAGGCCAATTTACATGACATGACACATGATTTTGAAAAATGAACATTCACAATTCCCTCCTCCCCCCAGAACAAGCTTGAAAGTGTGGTGGGCAAATGTTTCTAGTGTCCTTTTAATGTTATACCCAGAAATAAAACTCAGTGGAACCAACTGCATTTGGTCTGTCTGTCAATTCATCTCAGCCGAAGTAAAAGCAAAGGTTCACTTCAAATAGTTCAAATCAAAACATGTTCATGTTTAAAATGGTTATGTCAGACCAATTTAACATCTACAGCAAGACCAACAAACAAATGTTTACAATCTCCCTCCAGCTTAATGTGAAGTATTTTACAAAGGAAGAAGAGGTAAAAATGTTCAGTTTCTGCAAAGCTGATTAGAGATGCATGCGACTTGCATTCTTGAATTGGAGCAAAAAGTTGGTTCCAAGAGGTATTGACTTTTGGGGTAGGTTGCAGCTGAGTAGTAGCACACACTTTTCATACCTTTTAGAAGTTCACAAGTATACAGCACTTTCTGTTGGTCTGTCACATAAAATCCCAATCAATTAAGTTTGAGGTAATGCAAAAAAAGTTCTATTTTCAACTATTTTATTTGCATTTGTATGAGTGCCGCTTGCTGTTGTTGTTGTAGTTACATTTTTCTACAATTCAGTTAGTTTTTTCTTCTGAGATAAAGAAAATCAAAATATTTTCAAGCATGCCAATGACTGTTGAAGAGACATACGCTCACAAATGTAAGATAACAATAATTCCACTACTGTTACCTTTGTGCTTTATACACCGTTTTCATACGACTACATCCCCCTACAACACTCTATTACAAATTAAATTATAAGCATCAAACCATCTATTGTGACTCTGAGCAAATTATTTCCCTCAGGAATAAATGCACAACATTTTCTCCATGGACAATTCATAGAACTGCTTTATTTCATATTCATTCTGATTGAGTCCAAACACACGCACACACACAGCCATCTATTTACTCCCATATATAAATAGATGAATGTACACAGATATACATAAAATACACGTTTCTGATATGCATATTTATTTGTGAAATCATGCTATGTCTTCTGCAACGGACTCTCCCTATCGGACGAGGGCACACGGCGATTTGAGAACACAAACACAACACGCCTGAACAGTTGGAAGAATCCCTATTTGATTTGCAAGTAAGATAAAAACCCACAAGTCTTTCAGTTTCCAGAAATCATACAAAGGAACAGCTGTGGGTTTTTACACGCCATGGATGTACAGCAGCTGCATCTGAACAGACACACTGAAGAATGTGGTTTAAATTATGTGGATTGCAGCCATGCAATCGCTTCTTAACCATCAGCAAAAATAAAACCAAATAAAAATAAGATTCTCCGATTCAAATGGAAAATATATTTGTATATCTTTATATATGTATTTATAGATTTATGTACATATTCTCAAGAAAACAGCAATGAGGAAGGAAAAAAATAAATAAATACAGGAATACAGGTGAAAAAAAAAAGATATACATAAACAATAGACCCACGTGTAAAACGTTCCAATAAGGCGAAAAAACAGACTGTACAAAAATAAAAATGCTGCTATGGTGTCTTCATCTGATGAACAGCACACTGATAACAACTGGCCACTGCACATCATGAGAACAAACTGATTTCTATTTTGCATCGCAGACGCTGAACCCTCCTTTACGCTCACAAGTGCATCTAGAAACCGACTGAAGGAAGGAAGTCGCTCTCGAGTTTGCACAAATGTTTTTAGTTGAAACCCAAAGATGTGAAGCACAGACCTTACAGCAGACACTAACATTTAGAATGATAAACACACAGTGGTAAAATAAATGTCAGCATCTGAGTGAGAGAAAGAAAAAAAAGAACTACAAGTGCATCTCAGTAAATCGGAACATTATGGTTCATTGATTTAAGCTGTGACTTTTGGTTCATTACATGAACAGTGATGTATTTTATGCGTTTGATGATTATGGGTCATAGCTAATGAAAACTCAAAAGTTCAGTTGGGAAGTTATGTATGTCTAAAAGAAAATTAAAGCATTTGATTCCCAACCGAACAGCTTCTACATGCATGTATGAGTGAAATGCAAAGGTTTTCTTTGCAAAAGTTACTGCATCGATGCGGCGTAGCATGGAAGCAATCAACCCCTGGCTCTGCAGATGTGAGAATATGTCAGAATACACAGAAACTAGATTTTTTTTCCCCAATATCTGCGAAATGTAACCTTCAAATTTAAACAGACAAATAGATGTAGAAGTAGAAATGTAGAAGTACATTTCAAAATGTACAAAAACAAACTCTTTGACGATGTACTGATTTACTGAGATGCACCAGTGTGACTTCTGCGTAATGTGGTGTGTGTTTTATTTGACCTCTATCACTGGTTCATCATTCAGGTCCCCCGTATTAAGTGCAAACAAAGTTTAGCTCATTCACAAACTGCGTCAACACGGCGATGTAGTGCGTTCATCCAAATATACAAATAACAGCTACAATATTGACTGCAAATACTACAACTGATAGTCTACAACTACAAAACGTCTAAACCGTTCACTCGGTGGGTTTCTGACGCGAGGAGGGGGATTGCTAAGAGGAACAATGTCACTGATATTTACCCCCGTCATCCGCCGTTCGAACTCTGAATCTTTTTTTGTGCATTTGTCCAAAAGGTGGGGCTCCAACTGGAAGACACTGCAATGGAGTTCATTTTAAAAATCCTCTCTTATGACAATATCTGTCGCTTCCATGTGGCAATTGACGTCGGCTGTGTGGAAGAAAAATCCCCAAATGTACTAACACTGTGTTTAAATGCCAAAAAATAAAAGCTCTTTGGGTGCATTTAAGAAAGTTTTTTGTGATGGAAACCGCCCTCCACTGTGGGCGAATCCTAAAGTGGAACACTTAAAGGAAGATATGGAGAAACTATTAGAAATTAAGTAAAAATTACATCTATTGTGTAAATTCACCAAAGACTTTAGCTAAACCTCCCGTTTTGCTCCTTCTCTTATGAACTACGCTGCATATTTTTCTCTTCTAGGAATGTGCGGGCGACAGATGGATCGATGCAGAGCCCGGCAGGTTTTCTCACTGAATTCTCTCAAATCTGTTCCGAGTTCACGCCATTTTAACCCCGCCACAACATTCGGAGTTAAAGAGGCTCTCAGCTGGAGCACTTGGATGGACACGAGGCTGCGGTCAACTTAAGAACCGTTTCGCTCGGAAACCGTCCATCGTGTGACGATGCACCATTTGGAGATGGTTGTTTTCTTTGTGTGATCTAATGAGGACTTTTGTTTGGCCGTGCCTGGCAAAAGTATGTACACTGAGATTAAAAATTAAATGACACACAGATGGGCTTTGTTTACATGTTATTTGAACATCTGATTACACAGAGCTAGGCTCACATGCACGCCACAATTTCCAGACTGTTATTCGAACCTTATTTTCTAAATCATGTATCAATTTACCTTCCACTACACAATATGCAATAGACATATATCAAATACCATCCAAGTAAAATTTTTGGTTGTTAAGACACAATGTGGGGGGCGGGAATGCAGTCAAATGGACTTCTGCAACCTCTGGAGGTTATATAAGGACAAGTCTAATCTTTGACAGAAACTTTGGTTTAATTCCCGTCCCTTGCCTCTGTAGGAACCTGCATTGGAAAAGGTTGATTGGTTTTGATTGGTTTTTTGTGGTTCTGATGTTTTGGCCCAGTTCATTCTTCTGATAAATTGCAGATTATGACTCCCTGATCAAATCAAAATAACCTAAAGTGACCTCCTCCTTTGGTAGATATTTCAATATCAGAGTCATGCAAACAGTTTTCCTTCCAGGAAAACCGGGGCTCGTCCAATTAATGGCTCTCTATGTCCTCCAAAGTGGCTCTTAGTAACTTTGGTGTTGCGATAACTGAAAGTTTTCAAATATAAAGGTAACAAAAAGATTTTTTATTTTTTTTTATTCAGTCATATATATATTTTTTTTTTGCCATTTGGTCTGAAACAATTTTTTTCCTTTCTCTATTTCCGTTATTGTCAAATGTTACATTCAAGAAAACTGCTCATTTGTCTCTGTTTAGAAATGTGTCTTGCAACCTAAAAATGTAATTTTGCAGGTGCAAAACCTGATGAGCCATCTATTAGAGGACGAGTTAGGTTTTGTCACCCTAATAAGCAAAATTAATCAAGGATCAAAACTGGCTCTTCAGAGTGCGGAGGTTGCTGAGCCGTCCAGAAAATGACCTTAAATCATCGGATTGAAGCAGGTGGAAATTAATATGCAAAACGGTGAAACATGCGGACCCTCGGTCATAAAAAAAAAAATTAAAAAATGGTGACATTGCTGGAAAGAGCTCATTAAATCTGTTAAGACCCAACATTGTTGGCTCAAATGTAAAACTGGTGCTTGAAGAGAGCACTTCTTAAAGGTGAACCCCTGAAATTTGTCACCTGCCTTCTTCACACTTGTCTTTACAAAAACTGTGCCTAACTAATTAGCTGTATTGTGTACTGCGGATGCCTAAACGCATCAGGGCATAGAAGCACGGATATGTAAACAAGGTAGGTTTCAAATGTTTCCAAAACCTCCCAGCCTCTGTAGATTCAGTGAGAAAATCTGTTTAAAGTCTAGAGGGGCCGATTCAGAAGTGGTGTTGCATGTATGTCAAACATATACTACTACAGCCTTTCACAGACTATGTCACACATACACAGAGATAGATCCTTAAATTGATATAATAAATTTCATCTGTCGAGGGTGAAAGGCAGGGATGGTTGGACATCAGTGAAGTCATCACTGTCAGGTGTATTTTTTTTTCTCCTCTCTCCTCAGGTGTTCATGTCACTTTTTCCTCGGAATTTGCTTACAATCCTGCCGCACGCAGAGATCGTGCTTCTGCTGTTGCCGCCTGGACTTCAGACTGATGAGTCTTCTCTTCCGAGACGTTCACTCCCCTCTTTCTCTCGCTCTCCGTCTCTCTCCACCACAAAACCAGGGTTTACTGCAGGAGACAGGCAAGAGACATTCGACATTACCTAAATGCGAGTCGAAGCATAATCTGTTCTGGGAAAAACAGGAGCAAAGAAGTCAAACGTTCATAAAACCTCAAGGAAATGGGAGGGTAGGAAGGTGAGCGCAGGAGCATAGTTAAAACGAGGCATGCAGGTTTTTGGTTCTTGTCAGAAAACTTTTATTAACCTTCGTGTGTCAACCTCTGAAGCATCCAACATTTTAGACCCGAAAATCATGTAAAGAACAAAGTCATGGAGGCTCATAAATCTGTGAACACTTAATTCAAATGGTGACTAAAACCAATTTGAATGATCAGTTATTAGTTGGACTTTTTGTGGCTCCAAACCAAAGTCCTGAAAGGTGACAATAACAGCATCCCTACAACTAGTGATCGTTTGGGCTTTACTCTGATATATGAAAGTTTTAGTAAAACCCTACGTTAGACTGACTCCACCCTCTCATATGGAGTCACACTCCCTTGAAGAAAAATAACCTAGAGTTGGTATCAGCAGAGATCAGGAAACAAAACTCTGATCTCTTTTCCTTTACTGTAATTATTGGTTACACTTGATACAATACTGGAAAGAGAAAGAAAACTTAAATATATTTATGTATGCTTTTAAAAAGGGGCTCAAAATGCCTTTAGGCGGCATGTTTAAGAGAAGAAGATGATAAACAATGTTGGGAGACACGTGATGGCTGACTGTGGACTAAATGATCAGGCAGGCAGGCGGGCTGTGACCATTTCCATCCGTTTATTAATGAGAAATGAATGTAGGGACTGGCTGGACACGTAGCAAGCCTGTTCGTCAGAGCCTAGAGACCTGTTCCAACTTTCAACGAGCCATCCTCTCCATCACCGCAACCAACACCTCATTGCTGATCTGAGGGAAATCCCTGAACTTTTATGTAAAGAGATTTTTCTTTTTAAAGTCTGATGCTTATCACTTACTGTCTCTCTTTCCCAATCCCCATCTGGCAGGGTCTTAGACTCTGAGCCATAGTGTAGCGGAGAGTACACCCAGGTCCTGTCCTCTGGAGGCTGTTTTTACACGCCCGCCACAGCAGAGGGGGCCAGAGGGACAGAGGAAAAGGCCACAGGCACAGAGACAAGCAGCGGGGGCAGGCAGGAGATAAAGACACCGGAGATCACAGGAGAAAAGACAAGACAGGAAATGAAAGATTAGGGATGCATAAAGGAGGAAATGTCTGAGACAAATCAGAGTGTGAATCTGACATGCTGAAAGAGCTAATCCTAAAAAAAACATGTCGATGTTAATAAGGTTGTTAGAGAGCAAGAGACAGAGAGAGAGATGCAGTAAAAGAGTAAATACTAAACAAAGCGTGTTTGAATCACATGTCTTTGTGGCTTTTGCCCTGATGGAGGGACACCAGGTTTAGGATGAGCTTCGGCGTCGTGCAAGCAGGCAGTATGAGGAGAGAGGAGGAGGAGATGGGAGGAGCCAGGATGCCAGGACAGTCAGACACAGAAAGCATCCTCAGACAGAGCAAAGCAAGTCAACCGGCGGCTTGTTTTGTTTTCCCTCCACCCCCCCCAAAATATCTTCACAGACCAGTGACTTTTCCACATTACAATCTCAAATGTATTTATTTATTGCTCCAACACTAACTCAGTGAACCATCACAAAGTTTTTATACGATTGTGAAGTGGACAGAAAATATGCTACACGGTTTTCCAACGTTTTCAACAACATGAAGCCTGAAAGGCACCGACTCACTAGAACTCCCTTTCACTTCAGGTTTTTGTGGGGAAAATGTCTCCGCTATGTAGAAACTGGACTTTTTACTCAAATTATGTTTGCAATAATGCTCAGGCTTGGTCAAGTTAAATGGAAAATGTCTTAGTAAGTCTTGCCACAAATTCTCAGGTGTATTCAAGTCACATGAACCGGTTTTAATCACTCCTCTTGGGCTTAAACGATTCATTGGATTAATCGTGATCAATCGATTATAGAACTAAAATATGATTAAATGCAGTTACTGTGTCCAGCTTAGTGATGGAAATCACACTTCTTTTTGTGACTGGTGTCCGGAAGAAACGTGTTACAAATGGGAATGTTTTTTAAGAGCCACATTTGTGTTGTGTAGTTATTTTACTGTGACAAATTATGAAAAAGTCACACTGTACATGTCCTGTTTACGGTATGTAAAGTCGCACTGAGTCCGATTCTTCTTGTCATAATGTCTAATGCACAGGAGGACGAGTTGTCAGTGAGTGGGGAATCAAGCAATCAACAGATGTGACGTGACTAAGGACAGCAATAAAAAGCCTGTCTTTTGTCTGCCTTCCTCCTACTTTTCACTATGAGGGGAGATGGCTTTGTTTTTACTGTCAACATCATCACCAATCCTCCAGCAGTGCAAAAAGAACAACAAAAAGGAAATCTGACAAGCAGGTCTCTAGATAACATTGTTTCTTCTCACCACATCCTGTATGAAGCACACAGGGTCAATCTAGGCTAAGGTCAGGGAAGCTACACGGGCAAGGAGGCTGCTGGCGCACTTACTGGCCAACGCGACTGGCATTTCCTCCTCTGCCTGAAGGGAACGACCACCCAGGTGCTCCCGTTGGGAAGCTGAGATGTGTTGCGCACGGCGGGCAAAACAAAACAGAACGCACGGCGGGAGACGGACAGGCAAAAAAAAAAACAAAAACAAAAAAAAAAACATAAAATAAAGTAAAACAGAAATTGATGTGAAATGAAGTGAGAATGGATGACAGTCCTGAAGGTGAGACGTCCCTGCAGGGATCCGTGGGATGAGTCAGTGGAGGGGTGGGGAGGGAGTGGTTCCCAACTTCAGCGTCTTTTTATATCCTGCCTTCGTTCATTATCGCCGTCTCGCTACTTTCAACAGTGACTCATGAGGACAAACACACGACTGAGACAGTGAAGACAAAGATGGAGTACGGTGCATTAGAAGGCGACAATAAATCTGGTGATGGCAGAAATAAAAAGAAAACTCAACTACAAGCCGTTCAAATTAACTCCTTTTTTTGTGGTTTATTAATCATACATGTTCTGTCTCAGTAGTCAAATGTTCTTTTTATAAGAACATCTTATAAGGTAAAAATCCTCCTTTAGCACAATTTGAATATAAAGGAAAACTTTGACCTGAAGGAATTTCTTTTGTTTGGTTTTTGGCTGGGATATGTTTTAAGAAATGTGAGGCACAATAAGATAGAAGATAAGACAAGATGACTAAATTGCTCATGATAAGGCATATAGCCAGTTGTAACACTCTCTTTTTACCTGTTGTCAAGGTAAAACCTTTAAAAGTGCAGTGTGCATTTGTACTGAGCCACTTTAAGCACTTAATGTAGGTAAAGTGACGGTTGTGAAGTTAAAGATGGAAAGAGAGCAGCAGCAGATAGTGGATTATAGTATGCTGTCATGAAAATAAACGTGACACTCAGATGTAAATAAATTACTGAAGCCTTTTGGTGCGTAAAATAAACCAAATGTAATAATGGAACAAAAATTTCCAGGGCAAATTAGGTTTACCCACAAACATCTGTCCACATTCATTTTGTATTTGTTCTTTTGTTTTAAAACATCCAGGTTTAGGGCATTTGTAGCAAAGGACGCACCTGCAAAAACAAAAAAAGAAAAAGAAAATATATAATATACTAATCTGTTTATTTTTTGGATTAATAACTGGGTATCAAAAGGTGCTTCATAGAAGATTTATTATTATTATTTTTTTTTTACAGAATTTGAAAGAGGTGAAACTAAAAATGTAGTTTTGGCTTGAACATATTCACAGATAAAGAAGGTTTTTTCCATCTCAAAAGCAAAATGCATTCAGTTTGGCCTGAATTTCTGCTCTAACTGTGTCATCCTTTCAGCAAATAGCCGATTAATCAAATACTATGATTAATCGTTTCAACCCTATCCAGGGAGAATCTATATGTGTGAAACATGTTTTCTTGTGAGCCTGCCTGGACTGACGCTGCTCCCAGAAGCCCCTCCTGAGCAGAAGGCCGCAGCATGTTTCACTGTGGTTACACTTCACTGTCAGTGTCACTTTGCTTCTTGCAGAAAACAAACTCCCCGCCGCCGTGCACGCAGTGAGCCTCTCTTCTCTCCTCCCACTGAAACACGAGCCGGCCGAGAGCGCTGTTAAATAACCGAGGAGCTCGTTAACTAACCTGCCTGTCATTAAGCTCTCTCATGACACATTAGGGGCGTTTGATTCCTGACAGAGGACGGCCAGCGGGAGTTCAGCTCAGGTGGGAACGGTCCTCGTCAATCTCACGAATATCTTTCAGATTAAAGCCACAAACTGTGATACAATTTCTCACAATAGTTCACAGAAAAAAGGGTGTTTACTACAAAGCCACATATTTTAGATTTTTGGCTGAAGAGAAGTATCCCCACAGGATAATGCTGCCACCTCCATGTTTTGGTGTTTTCTGGGTGATGTGCAGTGCTTTTTTTTTTTTTTTCCTCTTTCCTAACACACATACTGTTTTTTATGATGCTGTTTGTCTCCTAACAATCCTCTGAGGCATTCATATTCATAATTCAATGAAATACAGCTGGACCCTAATATCTAATGCAAGGTCTTCCAGCTGAGTTTTAGGATGCAGATCTGTCTAAAGAAAGCCTGTTGCTTCAACAGGAGCAGGCATGAAGACCATACATGCCCAGAATGCTTCAGCTGGTAATTGACGGTAATCTGATCAATTTACTGCTACAGCCTTGTTGGAAATCACTTTAGGGAGGAGCAGGAAAGTAGAAGTTATCACAATCTAGGACAGCTCAGATAAAGGAGCTGAACAGTTTGCTCAGAGACAATCTGGGGAAAACACTTCCTTGCTAAAAGGAGGGTGAGAAAACTGAAGCTGCCAAAACTGGATCTGTCGTGGGTTTTCTAACATTTCTCTTAGTGTAGAAAGTAAATTAACTAAAAAAAGAAGAAGCTCAAAACACAGCAAACAAGAGCTCAGCACCCATTTACTCCCATACCAGGCTGAACTTCCACAGCTCCCCTCAGTGCTTCTGTGGGACGGCATCACGCGGCTCGGTCAGTAAAAATGACTTCCATCGTTCACATGATAATAAGCTGATCAACTAAAAATAGAAAACCAAATGATGAAAGCTGATTTTCAACTTACAAAGTAGATATCTGAGACTGGCACGTCGTCATCATCGTCGACCGAAGCCTGGCTGGTGCAGCCCGATCCGGACATCTGGCTGGCCCCGTCGGGATCCACCACCACCACCACTTCGGGCCTGGGTGGGGCTTCCTCGGCCGGCTCTGGTGGAGCCGGAGCGGCGTCCTTCTCTTCTCCGGCAGCCGCTGCCGCCTCCGGACACGCCGACGAACTCGAGGGCGCCGTGGCCTCTTCTGCGACGGCCGCGGCTTGAGGGTCACTGTGGTGAGATTAGACGATTTGGATTAATCCCGCTGCAACTCAGTGAATCAAGATCTCACCAGAAAGTTGGTCTGATTCATTCAGTTGAAAACAAAAAGTAAAACTTTTATGGCGTAAAATATGTTTGACATATTTTTTAGAAAAGATCATTTCAGTTATCTTTGATGAGGTAAAAGTTTTAACAGTTTATGAGCTGAAGCCCATTTGGGGCTACTTAAAATCTGAAGTTACAAAAACCGGATTTCTCTTAACAGAGAAAACAAAATAAATTATTCTCAAAACTCTTATTACCAGTTTCTTCCACAAGGAGTATCAATCACAAAAATATTGCTAAAGAGCCCGACTCTATATCCACGCTAAAAACGTAGAACGTTTAGTGGAAGGAAAAAGTATAACAGAAAATGGAAATAATCGATTTGCAGATATTCATAAGGCAGATGAAGTCGGCGCTTCACACACAGACGTATCCATGTTTTAGGCTACATCGATCAGATTCCTTTGGCTACGCCATTTCTAAAGCAGAGATAAAGTCTCTGAATCCTGAGAAGAGAAGGACCGGGAAGTCCTGCTTCACGTGAAAGGACTTAATATCCTACATTTCTGAGAATTTTGGTATTTCAATAATCACTAACATATCCTTGTGTATAAGGAACCTATATAACAATCGAGATGACAGTTTTTTTTTTTTATTGAAACTACTTTTAATTATGTAATTTATTAAGTTGCATGTGCACCTTCTCTGACAGCTAAGACTTAAGATTTAGAAGACGATTATAAAAAGTAAGGAGCATTTAGGATTTTTAAGCTGCTTCTTCTGCCATTGCACCTCTCTTCATGACTCTCTTCTTTTTGTGTTACTTAAATCTACGTGGATACAGACAATCCATCAGCCGTTGCTGACATTAAGAGCTCCTCTTTTAGAAGAGCAGGGGAACAAGCCGTGAAAAGAAAAGCGCCGCCGCCGCCGACTAAATCTCAGCAGCTGTGTGTGTGGGTGTTTGCGTCGTAGATGTGTGAGCTCGTAGATCTGCCAGCTGGCTGCTTGCTGCCACCATCCTTTATTGTTCCCGGCCAGATCATCAACTATTAGGGAGGATTTAGGCGGTCCGGCTCCGGTTATCTCGCTTTCTGCGTTGTAGTTTAGTTGCGTTAGGGAGACACGGCGGCAAGAGGCCAGTAAATCAAGAAGAAGAAGAAAAAAAAAGCAAGGAACAAAAACAAACACTTGGAAAATCAAAGAGAAAACTGATTGGCTGAGTGAATGACCAAGACAGGCTGATGGTTTCCATGCAGAAAGACTCCTCTCATCCTGCTTTCGCTCTCCTTTCTATTCTCTTCTTCTTATGTCACCCATTTCTTGACTTTCTTTTAATCGATCACGCCATTCCCTTTACCCCACCTCTTCTCATGTCCATCTTTTTTATTTTTCCTCCAGCCCTCGGGCCATACGTCTAGCCACTGCCTTCTCAGCAACAAACCTGATTATTCAGTTGGTTTCACTTGAGCACAACTCTTACACGCCGCCTGACCCGGCTCAGAAAGACAGCCGAACCTCGCTCAAATGGCTGACTCTGCTTTTCCTCTGATCTTATTAGCTGCTTGTGTGTGTTTTTTAATGTAAGCTGACTTAAAGGTAAAACTAAACAACACAGAGATGCACTGATAGATCAGCAAGAGATTTAAATCAGTTCTCCTTTGACCTGCAATCAGCAGGTCCATTTACAAAAAAAACCCAAATTCTTATTTTCCTAATAATTGCTAAATGGATCAGTACTAATGCTGCGTTCCAGTTCTTCTAGAGAATGGGAAATTCTGACTTCTTAGTAGGAAAATATCAACTTAACCGTCCCAGGTTACGACTTGAAAGGCCCGACTTCTTGTTTTAATATGGCCGCTCCTCGCATCAACAGAAGTGAGCTGTTGTTCAAACATGTTTATTCTGTAAGACACACGTGTAAAAGTGCATCTAAAATTCATGCTACATGTAGCGCCTGCAGCTCTAAGCCGAACAAATTAAAAGTGGTGTTTTTAATTTAGGATTTAAAAGCTTTTACGCTTTATTTATAGAAAATAAAGCTTAAAATACCGTTTCTTAGCTAGCTCCTTCACTAGAGCATTATTTCTTAGGGTTTGACGTCAAATCCAGCTTCGAAGTTCAGACTTCCCAGGTAACAGGAACGCAGCATAAGAACCACCATGTTGATCAGAAGATAATCGACATGCACATTATTGAGTTCATTAGAAGTCAAACAAAGGTTAGGGACAAATGCTTTGCTGCATAAATTAAGATACTTATGTAAATCCTTTATTTTCTGCTACGTCATTGTTCTTGGAATTAAAAAAAAAAAAGTTTCCCTCAGTCTCAATCTGAACTGTCAGGTCAGAGCTCAAAGAAAACCTGATCTCTATTAAAAACCAATATCTGAATTGAAACGATAAAAAAGGTCGTCTTGGCTACATGGGAGCAGCTTCCCTCAGGCCTCCTGGCCCACTGTCCTACTTCTGCAGCCCAGCACAAATAGACATATGCCCCCTCCACCCCCATCAAAAAAAAAAAAAACGATTGGGGCCTCCGTCAGCCAGAGTCTGATCCAAACAAAACAAACGCACTCTGACGCAAATTTACATCCATGTATGCTGTTCCCTCACAACCCAATTACAGTAGAAGCCCCACACAGCACCTGCAGCATGTTATCCACTGAGAACAATGGACTCCTCACTCTAATAAACAAGTGGGCTAAGCAGATTAGAGATGTGCATGTGAGACAGGTGTGTTAATCCAGCAGCCGTCGGCTCTGGGTGAAACTCTGAGTGCGGTGCCGTGTCAAACTGAGCCACAAAGAGTGATTGACTGAGGTTTTATTTATCAAAGTTTCAGAGTAATGTCATCAGACGGTCTCTGCTAAACAAGAACGACAATGTTTTTAATGCTTGGTTTGTTTTATTGTTTCAAATATTGAGCACAATAAGTGTCAATATAGAGCCAGACCATCGTCTGTGTCGCTCACCTGGCTTCAGGTGAGTGCTGTGGGACAGAGATGGTCGGCTCGCTGTCGTGTCTCTTCAGCTCCACCTCCACTGTGATGGTCTGCTGGTCCTCCTCTCGCACACGCAGCTCCTCCTGGGTCCTGAGCGCACGCAGGACAACAGGAAATGAAATACGCAAGCAGAAATACACACGCAGCCACATCTTGGCAACAGGAAACAAGGAGCACCCTCGCAAACACACAAGCGTTCACATTTTCTCTGCACCACTCCACCCACCACACCCAGACACGTTTAATACTGTGAAAACACGCGGCTCCAAAGCGGTCCGGCTTCATAAAACTCACCTTCCGTCGTGGCTGAGAGACTGGGTGTGCCTCCTGAGGACAGACAAAACACAGTAAGCACGGGATTTAGAGGAAAACTGAAGGAGCCGGCTGGAGCGTGGAACTAGAAAACTATTTACCAAGCTGATAACCTGAGCAGACTTCTTCCATCGCTACTCTTTTAAAAAAAAAATCTTTACATTAATGTTTTAGGTCTTCAATAAAATGTAAATTGAGTAAATAAAATAAACACATTTGAAATGACTTTTGCCTTTACTCATAAAACATGTAAATATCATTAAAAAAATAAAAAATAAATAAAAAAAAAGAGTAAAAATGAGAGATATAAGAGGGAGTAAATGTTTCCAAAGCACTGTGGGTCCTTCAGTGGTCACATTAGAAACTGCTGACATCACAGCATACAGTTAAAGGTCGGTCTAAAGGACTTCAAATGACCTTTTACTAGGAAAGAGAAAACAGCTTAGCAGGAAAATAAAGGAAAGTACATTTCTCTGCCTCATTCATTTCAAATCTATGAAAAACAAAATTGTTCTCTAAATAAATTAAATTTGATAAACTATTATGGAGAAAAACCTGTGAAAATGTCTGATAATCCAAAATAAATATAATATTTTACAGCTCTGGGGCTCAGTATTTCATAAATCTTTTACACACAAACACGTGATCAAATGCTCTAAGTCAATCAACTTATTTATAAGTTTCAGTTGTTTAGTAGTTTTCTGATGCTTCTTCAGTCTACAACTTTAATACTTTAAAACACGCTGGAGAAAAAAATGGCCTCTGGCTGCTGATGTAGAATCAAATGTGTCTGAATACAGAAGGCTGGTGTTAGCGTCTGCCAGTGTGTACCTGTAGCGCGGATGCTCTGCCGTGTCAGACGGGGATCTTTCGGGGATGGACAAAGACGTTGTGGACGACAGAGTGGTGGCGATCGACGCAGTGGTGGCCTCCTCAAACGACGGGGGAGTACACGGAAGGAGATCCGGTCGACCTGTCAGGGAAAGGAGGCAGCTTGATGTACTGCACTAAACGTTTTTCTTCTCCAAAATCACAGGAGACAGAAGTTATACATTTTTATTATCATTTTATTTACCAAAGATCTCAGGAATCATATCGAATCAGTGATGCTGTGGAAAGACTTATCCATTTTAACCAAATTTTTTGGAGTCAAAAAGCTTTGATAGACTTTAAAAAAAAGGTAATTCTTCTCAAACCAATGGACGTGATTGCAGTGATTCACCAAAGTGATTCACAAAACATATTTGTCCATGTAAAGCATTTGTTGAAATGTTCCACAGTCATGAGATTTATACATTTATAAAAGAGACATTTGAAACACAAACTCTGAAATACATTTGATCAAAAAAATTAATGGCAACATCCCGACCCCTTTTATGTAAGGGAACAGGTTTCCACTTTTAATATTCCTGCACCAAACTATCTGCTCAGCAGATTTTTTTTTTCCCCAAATTTAATCTGCCTAATGGTAAAACCTGTGATTTTAGAGAATATGAAGCTTTTTGTTTTTAAAATACTGCACAAATATTGTTCGATTTGACAAAAAATGCAGGCGTGACATATATTTAAATGTGGGCAAAACAGCGCTAGTGCAGACAGAAGATATTTGCTCAGTAGTTATTTTAGGAGCTTGCGTGCTGCATTTGGGCGAAATGAGATAAAAGGACATGTTACCTCAGATTGGCTCAGATCGTTTAGCACTCACAAATGTCTTCATGAGCATTCACCTTCGTCCTCCAGCGTTGGGAAGCTGCGGGCTCCTCTCAGGTCGTAGATGTTCTCGTCTCTCTCAGAGGCGAGCTGGCTGGCGGACCACGCCGCACCGGGACCGGCGCATTTCGGCACCGACAAAGACACGCGACCCTTCTTAGACGGAGAGGACTTCAGAGCTGAGGCAAAAGGCACACAGAAAAGCAATCAGGACACATTCAATGATTTGTGTTATGAAAAAAACAAAACATCATCAATGAGGTCTACATAAGTTCATGTGATTAAAATATTGGCCCAAAGTTAGAAAGAAAAGAAAAAACCTGCAACAGCAATTTTACGTACATTTCAGAAAAAAACATCCTCTCTTTAAGTTGTGACAAAATCTTAAAATATGAAGCAATACACTGTAAAAACACTAAATCTTAGAACTTAACGCAAAATCTCTGCAAAACAATTATTTTTGTTGAATTTCTATGCAGCTGAAATAAGACAAAACTAACTTACAAGTAACTTTCTAGCAGGAAATAGAAACTTATCTTATATCAACAGCTGTTTAATATTGATGGAAAAAAATGCTACTTCCACTGGCAGATTATTTCACTTTTGGCATGGAAAAGTGTCTCGTTATAAGTGAAATAATCTGCCAGTGGAACTCGTAATTTCTCATCGATATTAAGGAATTATTAGCATAAGATAAGCTTCTATTTCCTGCTGAAAAGTTACTTTTAAATTAGGTTAGATTTTTTTCACGTGTACGACAATATTTCTACTAGATACTAGACCAAAACTACATGGTAAGATTTGTTGTTTTTCATCAAAGTGACATTTTCTCCCCTTCACACGACACTAAGCAGCACCTCTCAAGGCTTTCACCTTCTGCATCAGATGTTCATATTGAGAATCAGCTGGATAGAAATAAGAGTGTGAGAAATCTGTGTGTTTTTGTGGCCCTTCCCACACACAGCTCCATCTGACAATTTAAGGGAGTGTCTGGGTGATGAAGTGAACTCACATGAGCTCTTCTTGAACACCGTGCTGCTCATGAACTTGAAGAACCTGTCGGCGTAGAAACCCGGTCGGTGGACCGACACGGTGTCCTGAGGGAGAGACGAGGAGAGTTCATCAGATAAATGGTGTGTTAATAAAGTGATCAGAGCCAGATAAAGCCGCCTGTTTGTCCCTCTCCGTGTCCCGGTAATTTTTTTTTTTCTCTGGATCAAGCTGCTCTCCCGAGCATCGCACACGAACGCGTCTGCCACGAACGCTCTGAAACACCGTCAGACGAGGCAACAGACACTCTGCTTCATTATTTATGTATCAGCCCAGTGGGATAACACTGCCAACAGACTGACAGATGACACTTGGTGTTTGGTTTAGAGTAACAGGGGCCAGAAGGAGACCGAAGGAGACGGAGGAAGAGAGAATCCGCGCTATTAGGTTTCTGCTTCAGCATCACTTTTACAAGGCATGAGTAACATTTTTTTCTCACATTCATCAGCTGCGCGTAATATGAAGAAAGTTTGGAGTGTTCATCATAGTGACGCAGAGGAGGCGGCTTGCTCTCCTACACACGTCTTGTGAATTAGCGTGGCTCGCAGTGGGAGAGAGTGGGAGGGAAGACTGATGAGTCGGTTTAATCTGGAGCGTAGAGCCTAAACCCGAGGGCTGGATGACAAGCAGAATATAAAACACACGGGAAAGCAAAATAATCTGTCATCAAACTCATCTGTTTGACTTGCACTTCAGGGGAAAAAAGCCCAAGCAGCACACATATTCAAACTAAACAGAGTTTTGTTACATGGATTCTGCAAATACACAAAATCTCACAAAAATTTGTCTAATTTCTGGAGAAAATTGTCTACATTTGAAATAAGAGAACTAACTTACAAGTAGCTTTTCAGCAAGATAAAGGATCTTATTTTAAGTCAATATGTCCTTAATATTAATGAAAAAAAAAACTAATTTTACTAATTATGTCACTTATAATGTGGGAAAATGTCTTGTTATAAGTGAATGTCCAAAAATATTTCCACACGAAACTAAACCAGAAGTATTTAAACTTTGTGTTTTTGCAGTGAATATCAGTGAAGCTTTCTAGCTTGTTTTTAAGGGTTGCTCTTCATCCTTTGAGTCAATATTCATAGTTTTTTAGACCCATATATATCCAGACTTCTCGATCCACTTTGGATATTTTTAATGTAAAAAAGCTGAGCAGTAATTTCCATTGGACATCATTTACAGAGATCAGCCATAAAATCGCTATCAGTAACATTAAGTGCATCTTCTTTTAGGGCTGGGACTTTAACACATTCATTTCAATTAATTAATCACACAGATTGATTTTAATTGTTTAATCTGCAAGTAATTTTTTTTCCCTTTTTTTATGCAAAAATCCTGAGCCGGGATTTTTGTATTTTGTTTCTGGTAGGGCGGCAAATTTGACACCCGCGCGATGTCCGTAAAACAACGTTGATGGTTAAGAAAGCCGCTTCTCGGTTAACTAGAGGGTTCATTTTTGTTTCAAAAAAATAATCTGATGGGATGATTGAAAGAACATTGTTGTGTTCAAAAGGAGTTGGTGTATCTGACACATAGACGTCTGTGAGGACCTGATAAACTCACCCCGTCATGAACCAAAGCCTTCCACGTGTGCTCCAGTTTCTTTATTAGCCTGGAGAAACAAAGCACAGCGGAGGTCAAAAGATGTTAAGCAGGTCCAATATGGGAAACTCACCAGCAATCACCAAGTATAGCACTGTAAATGTGTGGCATAAAGCCATCAAGTCTGAGAAGAGACAGTGTAAGGCTCACTGACTTATGATTTAACTATTGATCATCGCTCGATTTCAGGGAGGATCACCTGTAAGATTGTAAAATATCGATGATCCCGATGTAGAGAAGCAGCCTTTCTCCTTTTCCATTTACTGCTGGAATGCCACCCATCCTGGAATCAGACAGGAAGTAAAGCGGAAATGAAACGTCTGTCATTAAAAGCATGAAAACAGATCTTGCTGGCGGTCAGACTGAGCGGCAGCCTCGGCTCTGTCAGTCTGCGTCAGGGCAGCTGCGGTGCACCTTGGTGCTACAAAATCTCCATTTAATTGCTAGATTGAAACCCGGCTAAATGTAGCAAGTGTTTTCAAACGACTTACATCCTGGTTTTTACTGCTGAGAACATACTAAATATATTTTTGCTGGATGTCTTTCAGTTAACAAGGAAAACGTATAAAACCATTTGAGGTTTTGGTGCTACAATCTCTTTCCAACAAAAATATTGGTCTAATTAAAGTAGATCATGCTACTTTATTTTTTTTTATTGTGTGGGTAATTGTTTTCTGCTTTAAATCATATTTTTGGTAATGTTAGTTTTTAAGTTCTTTTTTGGCTCTTTTGCGAGGACGGCCCTTTAATGGGCTTGCCGTTAAAACTTTAACCTTTAACAACAAACAAACAAAAACAAATGAATTATCTCATTTTCAGTTATCAAGCAGGAAATCATGGCTGATTTCCTGCTTGATACCAGGATTTACTTTGTCCTAAGCACTGATGAGAGAAAATGAAACTTAACTTTACATTGTTAATTTTTTAAAATCATATTAAAAGACACAATTCCACAAGTTTTTCTGATTTTTTTTTAAGCTATGGTTTTCTGGTACACTTGTCCTTCCATAGTACAAAGGCGGCCATTTTGTCAGTGTGCCGGTCAAACTCACGTGTCGTCGGTGTCGATGGACCCTCCGCAGGCGGCGCCGCCCTGGATGGACTCCATGGCGGTGGAGTAGAGGGCCTTCTGCTGGGCCACGGGCCTCTTCTCGTCGCTGCCGCCCTGTGACCCCTCCATCTGCCTCTCCCTCTCCGCCTGGTCCATGTTGTGGACCCCGAGCAGCAAGCTGTAGTCCATGATCTTAAAGCTTTCCAGCACCTGAGCACAGAACAAATACGGACACTTTTAAACGCGCAGCAGCTGATACTTATGTGACAATAAAGAAGTTGGGAAATATATTAAGCATAGGGACAGAATAAAGGCTCTCACTGAAAAATTTTGAAATATCAAACCAGGTAAAAATGATTATTTTACTGCAGACACATATATAATGTCTGTGGTTGGATTATCAGCAAAATGAGGTTTTGGAAATTATTAAAAGAAGGGATACCAGTAACTTTTCCACTGGCGAATTCATTTCAAGCAATCATTTCCCAGTAAGGGATGAATTTTCAGCAAAAGTGTTCAGAGTTAGAATGTTGCAGTAATAAAAGATTATTTCCATACACACCGGTACCAGAGGTGATGATAAATATGTCTGCACCTGTATATAAAAAACAATCTTGCACAGACACACTTTTCCAAACACAGAGACACTAAATGTAGCTGATAAAAATCCTGCTCATAAAAGAGGCTCTGTTTAAAATAAAGTCTTCACCTCCTATGGATGAAAGAATGAAGCATAAAATTCTCTCTCACCAGACAGTCTCTCTGTAGAGTTTTAACCATGGCGCTGTACGTGTCCTGGTCCAGCATCAGTCCGTCCGGCATGTCCTGCATGAAGTCCAGGTCTTTGAACGTGGGCTTGGCCTTCTCCCTCTCCTTCTTGGACGCTCGCCTCTTGTAGGTGGAGCCCTTCAGGTCGTATTTGAGGTGCATGCGGACCACGCGGGGCAGCACGTTGTTCATGACAACCACGCGGATGTTCTTCCCGCCCGACTGGACGCAGTAGAGGCCGAAAAACTTGGGCAGCAGCGTACGAGGGTTCTGATTCAAGTTCTGGAGAAGAGCAGAACGGACAGGGGGAGGAAAACAATGGGTGACGCCTTTGTTTTAGAGGATAGGTGATGAGGAAGAGGCAGTCTGCAAATAAGAAAAAAAAAATACTCCAAAAGAATAGACTTATTGTCATTAAGCCACTGGGTCATTGTCTATTTGAACAATATAGCAATATAGGTAGAAAACAACGGTGCGTTATTTTTTTAGGATGACTTTCATATGAGTTGTTGAGTTTATTCACTTATTTCAAAATTTCTGATTTCATGCATATTTTCTCAGAAGATCTCATTGTTCACAGGACCAGTTATTAGCTCCTCTTTTCACGCGATTCAGCCTTTTCTGTCACCGCGCAGCGCTCGTCTCCCGTCTGACCCGTGCTGAATATTTCAGTAGTCAGTCCACACAAATGAGGTTAGTTGGACTGGGCACGCCAAGAAAAGCCCTGTTTCGACCTTGGGAGCTGGGCCAGATCTGTCCCATTAGAGAAATGAGAGCTGTGAAAGAAAGCGAGAGCGCTGCTCCCATAAAGAGACGCCGCTCGGCATTAAGGAGCGGAGAAGGAGAGGGAAGATGGAGATGTGGCTAAGACTTCTGATCGCATGCCGAATGACTTTCATCTGGTGGTAGGAACCGGTGGAAAGAGGCGTCACGATGATGGATGAGAACACATGGGGAGAAAGAGCGTCCTCCGCCCTCAGCAACACACGACCCTTCCTCCGATGTTAGGAGGGTAGGGTGGTAACAAGCCACCAGCGGAGGCACGTGAGGAAGAGGAGGGAAGGAGGACCAGTGTGAGCGGAAAGATAGAGTGACAAAGCACGAGGGAGAGAGGATGGAAGGGACAAAGCGTGTGAAAGGAACACAGAGAAGCGGCAGCAGGGAGTCAGTAACTGTCTTTAGCCGGCTGCCCAGAGCCAAAGAACCGGCTCCAGATCAGCTCCTTCTCCATAAAAACAGCAGTTTGCAGATTTTACTCTGATGTTTCTGCTTTAAGTCTGCAGAGAGCGTGTAAAACAGGCTGCTGTCCGCCCACGTGAGGGCGACTGCCAGTGCGGCTCATTAAGCCGCCTCCTTACAACCCATTAGACCTGTGAAATTGCTTCAGAGCACGACCGCCATCATGGGAAGGTCGCAGTGACCGAGCTGAGCCTTTAACATCTCCAACTGATTAGTCATCACGTTGGTTCTTCTAGAGGTGAAATGATTAATCGGGTTAATCATGATGAATTATTGAAGTAATCGTCAACTAGTTTGGTAATTGATTAATCGTTAACTGGAATATACAGACTCAGAGAAAAAGGCCATTTGTTGAAAGAATAACAGGAGAGCTGTAATTAAGCCAAAACTGTACAAAAATACATACATTTTACATTTAAGATTAAAAAAAAACCTTTGCAAAAATGTTCTATTCAAATTCTAGTAAAAAAAAAATTCTATAAAGAATCTTTAGCCAACCATTAATTAGTTACCCTCAAAAAATAACCACCAGATCAGCCCAGACTGTACTGATATTCAGTCAAGCAGAAAGAGTTGAGTTCCTAAAACACCACAGAGGGGTAAAATTATTCCAACACTGGTTTTTGCCTGAGGCTGTCAGCACATGAATAAACACCAGGCTGAGGGTTCATGAACCTGAGAGGCTTAAGGCATCGCATGGACATACATGGAGCTGCTTCGTTCAGGAAGCAGCTCGTGGACTCGGCCACTCTTGGTCAGAAGAGTCGTGCTCTGTTAGGCTCGACTGGCGAGCAGAACATCCGGCGAGAGCAAAAACAGCAGCCAGTGGCTTATGAAACCGCCTGGCCGCGGGCCCCAGTCAGAGCTGATAAGAGCCGCTAATGTCTGTTTTGCATGAAAACCGACCGCCGGGATCTCCGGGATCTTACATAAACCTCTGATCTAAACTGCATCATCAGCTAAGATGAACGCATGAAGGGTTTAATTTGGTTAAACTTGAAAATTAAGGTTCTCCTGCTCCCTGTAAAGCAGGAGAAAAATACAGATTTTTGTTGTAATTCAGAAATTCAAGATCATTAGGCATAGTGTCTAGATGTTGTGGTTTAAAGTTCTGAAAGCTGGTTAATCTTAAATTGTGAGTTCATATAACTTAGAGCTGTGATTTAAACAAAATAATTGTTTCACATTATGAAAGAAAAATGTCCTCACCAACCTGAACAAGAACACAGTTCAGTATTATTGTGTTCACCTTTAAACTGACTCTGCTTAGGAAACTTTGCCTAGAAAAACAAGTTTAGTGATATATGTGCTTAAATCAGTGAACCAGATTGATTTAATCCCATGAAATGTGTCTCATTGATTTGAAAAAAAAAAAAAAAGGCACCAGGTCGGAATGGTCGGGGTTCTGAGATTTACCCCCACCATCTGTATTTTTCAAACTTTTCAGAGTCGTTCCCACACAAACGCCTAGACTCAGCTTACCATGTAGTATCCAGGCAGCAGCTTCTGTAAGAACTCAGCCTCCTTGTGCATCACGGTTTTGATGATGAACTCGTCGTCCTTCGTAAGGTAGAAGACGGAGCCGCTCGCTCCGGGGTTGGACAGCTCGATCAGGGGCTCGTTGCAGAGGGAATACTGCAGGGAGACAGAAACCGAGCGCACTAGTACATCTTTAAAATGTATCATTGTTCATATTCTGGGAAATCAACATCATTAAAGTATATCCTTAATATCTTTCATCCTTTTTTTTAAGCATAATTGTAGCTTGATTTGTTTTTTATTTACAAGTGTTACAGGACTGGACATGTGTATTTGATAAGGGAAGAAAAGACGTCATCCTTTGATAAAATAACTATATCAAATACTCGTGTATCATATCTGTATATATTGCGTATCATATCATTCTGACTTACAGCCAAGATTTTAATGGTTTCCATACGCTCACTGTCACGGCACCTGTTGCCACAGCCACGAAATATGTGAAATATCCATCAATGCAGACCCCTCGTCTTTATTTCAAACTGGATAATCCTGCTTTATCTAAATGATAGCCTTTCATCAAACAGGGTTTTACACAAGCTATAAAAGTCAGTACTCCATAAACTGTGATTAAAAAGTCTGATCTGGTTGTAGTTGTGCTTATGTACCTGAATATAATACAATGTAAATGACTTAATTTCTCTAAGATTTTGTACATGTTGCTTCCAAGGAACCAGATTTTATTAGACTCTGTTAACGTGGACCTTTCTGAAATTATTTAAAATTTTAATCCAAATTCTAAATTTCTAAATAAATAAATAAATGAATAAAAAAATAGGTGGCCAAAAGTCAAATTTAAACCTATTTATTTCTACTTTGAGGAATGACTTTAGTTAAGAAAGTGCAAATGTGAACCAATGCTGTTTACCGACTGCTTTGCTCATCATATTGTGAACTTTATGCCTTCATATTTTCATTTAGCTCTGAAACGATCCAGGTACATTTTACCTGTCTATTGGTACACAAAGGCTTAATATGCTGCATGTTTGGAGTTGCAGTAGGGGAAGCACTTGTAAAAACATATAGGCCAATTTATTTTTCAAGCTATATTCATCTGTCAATGTGGGAAAAAATAGAAACCATGTTTCAATCAAGCCTGTGTCCAGTCCGTTGGATCTGTGCTGTTCGGCTGTAATAAATGAGGCATGAACAGAAAACATCGGCCGTCTGTCAACACGAGCTCAAAATCACCCGGAGCGTCGAGTGAGTAAAGGTCAAAGTTGTCAACCAAGAGTCAGCGGAAGACAGAGGAAGCCTAACACGACGTTTATATTATTGGGATTAAATGATATTTAATAAACCTGAGCACTTTGCTTGGGGATGATGCTGGTGTGAGCCTTCCATCATTTTATGAAGACTATTAATATGAACAGCCAAAATATTTAAGAGGATTCCACTGAGAAAAAGAAACCAACCAGTTGTTAATGCAGAATCTATTGCCCAGAGAGCTAATTAGTTGAAATTCAGGAAAATAGCTGGTCATTTTAAAAATGACTTGCATAACCATAGCTTTAAACTAAAACCGTCAGACTGCATTATGTCCTTTCTTCCCATAAAAAGAATGTAAAAAAATCTGTTCTGTATGCAGAACATTAAGTTGTTCTGCAGGGCCACACTTGTCCATTCCTGTTGGCATCTTAACAACAAAGCTTGGCAGGCTTTATATTTGCTCCAATATTTTTCTTAATAGGACATCTGCTTTATTACTTTTGCTACATAATTGAAGAGATTTTCCCCTTTGCTTTGGATCATGTATTTCTTGTTTTATATATAAAGTTTTCATGATGAGAACAAAACTGAGCACGCTTGACCTCATACTGTCGATGGACGGCCTTGTTGCAACTCAGTCTGACAGTTTCAGAGCGAGAAGCATGACTGTGGATCTGTCAGAGACAGTAATAATGTGCAGGCCATCATCCTGTTCTGGCACACTCAAAATAATGTGTGTGCCAAAAGGTTGTCAGTTTTTAAACGGGATCGTCTGGCCCCGACAACTCACCCTGGACTAATGGGATGGTGCCTAGCTGTGCAAATACGCCGATAATGTCCGCTGGACCTACTTTAGAACCGATTAGGTGATACTGACAACTCGTGTTTTTTATGAAAAGCCATGATATTAACATAAAGTGCTTTGTCCATTCCTGCACAACTAACATTAGGGAAAGTTGACACGTTTTTAAAAGGAAAAAATATTTAAGAAATAGCCAGTAGAGGTAAATTTACTGATTGTTTACGCTAATGCTCATAACAGTCGTACACCATCTTTAATTTGGAAGAAGGCCCTGCAGGAAAATGGCTCTGAATTTTGTCTAGTGATGCTTTACTGATTCTCTACAAGCTTTCTGAACCCGCTGCCATCGGGCTTATCATACCGCAACAACTTGAAGCAGAACCACCAGACTGCAACACAGCTGTCTGCCAAAAGCTGATAAAATGCTGAACTGCTGTTAAGATCACACTCCCTATTTAATTATGCTAGTTTTGTATTCCGTATTTTTATTACTGAACAATTTGTTCTTACCAACCTGTTGAAGATTTCAAATTAACACCGTCTTGTTTGTCCATAGCTATGCAGTTAAATTACACATGTGCAAACAAGCAAACACTTAACTAAACAGTGGTTAATTGTGCTAAACAGGGTGGTGAATCAACATTGGTTTTTATACTCTGATGGAAAAAGACAATGTGTTCCTCTTGGGTTTGCAGCCTGACTGACTCTGAAACTTCGTCTTAATAAATCTCTCTCCGTGACTGAGAATGATTACGTGCATACGTACAAAAACAAAATCGACTACAACAACATTGGAAGTAAAAACAGCGGATCTTACCAGGTAGTCGTCCGGTCTGATGCCGAACAGTTCTCTGAAGTAGCGGAAAGCCACAGGAGCGTACGTCTTAAACCGGAAGTCTGGGAAATGATGGGCTGGAGTGAGGTTGCTCCCTTCACTGGAGAGCAAAACAAAACCAGTAAAAAAATTATTAAAAAGCATTTCAGATAACAGCAACTACAAAAGTGACATCAAGCAGCTGCAATTAAGGTCTAGTTTGAGTTCTGTGTTCACTTGTAGTTCTCGTTTTTGTTTGATAATTTGTTTTTACTGCACACTTCCTGTCCTCCCAGAAAGCCCTGTTCCAGAGTTGTGTTGATAGTTTTGGTCTTTTATTTCTGGTGGCTCTTGTGTTTGGTCAGGCTCTGTTTAGTCACAGTTTTCTTTTATCCTAGTGCTTCATTGTCTTTGCTTCAGTGGCGGAGCCAGAGGGGTGGCCGGGGTGGCACTTGCCACCCCCGACAGAGCCCTTGCCACCCCTACTGCCACCTCACTGGAAATGGTTATTTTAAAATATAATACTTATGAGATCGGCAAAGATTTGCCAGGAAAACTGTAATTTCCGACTGTCCCTGAAGGCAGCCCGATGCCCGAAGCTGTTCATTGGCTAAACTGACATGCGGTTCCTGCTTGATCCAAAACACATCCGCGGCTTTAGAGTTACAGCGTCGAGGAGTTTTGCAGGTATTTACATTTTACCGCTCAGCGTAACCGCTGTTACCTTCCTAATGAGAGGCGGCACTTGTCATACATTTCTAAAAAGAAAAAAAATGGTTGTGCACCGCTGCTTGGTGCCTCGTTTATTATATTAGCCATGCTAGTGCTGATAGGTCGTGTTTTAGACAGATTCTTTTAAGATATGTTTTAGTGACATGCTGCCCTGTAATGTTTTATATCTCCCAGCTCTTGCTTGAAATGTGTAGTAAGAATATGTGAAAAACCATTAAGTTTAATAATGACTGAAATGTAAGTAGGCTATGTCATATGAAAGCTTTGAATTATGACCTAACTAGTTATATTAATTAATTTTGAACGAAAGAAAAAATATATTTTTTTTCCTTTCGCTCCGTGGAACGGTCTATTTGTATATGGACCCTCTGATAAAGCCTTGCTCACCCTTTGGCCACCCCTTGAAAAAAAGTCTAGCTCTGCCACTGCTTTGCTTGTGGTTTGTCATGTTCTTTATTCTTTCTCGGTTGCCCTTTGAGCCAATCTTCACAGCCGTTTCATGTTCAGTTAACTAGTCTCAGCTGTTCCTTGTTTAAGCCATTACCTTCCCAGCACATAAACCTCTAAGTCTCGTCAGCTCTTCCTATTGTGATCCAGGATTAGTTGCCAGGTCCTTCAACTGTTCTCACGTCTCACTCCCAGACTCTCCATGTCTCTTGTAGTTTGTTTTTGTTTTCCCATTTTCCTTCATTTTCATGAAAACACAAAGTGACCTCCTGTCTGAATTAGGGTCCAACTCAGCCACATGAAATTGTGCAGAGTTCTTCTATTGCATTCTGGATTTATGAACGTTTAATTGGCATCTGGGCTACAAAAAGTTGCATAAAATATCTAGAAGTGCATCATTTTGTAAGTACTGACCTGGGGAAAAAGATGCTTTCCACCACATAGAAATCTTGCATCAACACATCTCTCTCTGGCTTGGAGCTCAAGTTGCCGACCGTGTAACCGATTCCCAACTGGATGGCACCTTTCAACGCCGATGATGTGGTCTGCAGTTGGTGACGGCCGAAGAAAAGACATAAATAATTAACTTGAAAACAAATCAAAATGCATCGAGGGGTTTTCCAGAGTAGCAAAGTAATCTCTTAGCATTTCACAGCACCCACCTTCTTGTACGTCGTTTCTCCTGATGCGTCCACCCCTCTGTGGCCAATCTTCTTTCCTTGGCCAGGCTGGCCAGAAGATGAGGGCATCTGAGAAAATGGACAAAGGCAAATAGGTCTAAGATTGGTATTTGTAGCATTTCAAACGTCAATAAAGGTGATCGTCATTATTTTTACAAGGTATAGGAGTGTAGAGGCTCAGGCAGAAACTATGATGACAGCCAAACTAACCATAACTCAGAACTCGGCTTACAGAACAACAATGTTTTCATTAAATACAGTTACAGGAACAATATTAAATACTTTACATCTGACATTTTTATGTCACAAGTTAAAATTTGAACTGGGTGAAGTCAAAGCTTTTCACAGGTCAGATTTTCCAAGTCTTAAGTCTTTCAAACATAATTCAAAGTCGAGACTTTAGATTTTAGAGGATGAGTTCAATTCATGTCTCGTCTTTCAAATGTTCTTTAGGTTCCAGTCAAGTCTTGAATCTTTTAAGAACAAATCCACGTCAAGTCTCTAGTTTTTAAATTAAAGGTAATCCTTCTGACTTTAAGGTGTAGGTGTAAATTATTGACCTGAATCTATATAGCACAAGTAAGTCAGTTAGTTTACAGTGCAAGTCAAAAAAAAGTCTTGAGGTTTTGGTTTTGGAGTCCAATTTAAAGTCAAGTCAAGTCTTCTATTGTTAGGGTGAAAGCCCAAAGTATTTGGATTGTAAGTCAAAACTCAACCATTTTTTTGTGCTATTTAACTGTAACCTGAGTCAAAATCTCAGACTCAATTCCCATTTGTGGTTTTGCTATCATGAAAGACATTTTACCACTTTAGTCAGTCACACCCAAACTGTGCATTGCATATTTATATAATTTAGAGGCTAAACTGGACGTCTTAAATGTTATCCAGGTAATAATATGTCTGACATTATTGCAGGAAATCCCAATTGAACTCGAGGATTTAGTTGGCATTTAAGGAGAATTAAACTCTCAGCAGAGTCCAGTGAGACGAATTGTGATGTTTTTTCATCGCTTTGCCTTAATGAACTGCGAAAGGGGGCTTTATTCAGAGAATTTGTAAATTTGACATGGAAAATACTTAACATGTCTGATGTTAGTCAGCGCTGATCACTATGGTAATAAAAAAATATGTATTTATAATACAAATGGATCTAAAAAGGTTGATTGGATATGTTACAATAAAAGATTTTAGCTCACCTCTGTGATGAAGGCTTTCCTGGCAGCTGCTTCTGCAGGACAGAAAAGAGAGAGAGATAGCTGCGTTAGCTCCTGCGTGATGAGGCGGTCAATCATCGTGCCCTATAAGTGCTCTCTGTGACAAAGTTGGATCCCCAGGGATGCAAGAAGCCACCTGACATTATGCAATAACAGCGTCAAAGACAAAGCGAGGCCTCCAGGAGCAACTACTGCAAACAAGAGACATCAGCTACAAGGACGCGCAGTCCTGTGTGACTTCATGAATTTGTTTCTGCTCTGTTGAAAACAAACCACACATCATACTGAGTCATTTAAAATAATCTCCAACTTTCTGACACTTCATAATTACTGTGTGAACTTCCCATTTGCCTGTAAAAAGCATAGACACCTTTTTTCAAGTTGGATTGCAGATATAAATGATATGACTGTTGCAGTCGTGCGGTCTTAACATCTGCTGTGTTATGATCATCCTTACTTTAATAACAGGATGTAAGCTGTAGAGAAAGGCAATCAGAGGACTGTTTTCACCAGGAAGCCCTGAAATAGCTCTATAATTATGGACACATAACACTCAGCATAACGGAGGAAAGGGTGAGGAAGATAGGAAAGAGAAAACGCAAAATGAGCAAAAGGAAAGAAAGCAGAAGAGGGGATGAGAGAGGGCTTCAGACAACGACAGAATTAACCAGCCTGTTCTGTTTTCATTTTAAAAACTTAGTGGGTGACATTTATGAAGGAACTGAAGCAACTGCAAGCTGACAGCGAAGAGGAGCGATCTGGTGATTGGACAACTTAAAGCATACTTTTCCAGCAACGTGACACTATGGACGATGCTGAAGCAGCCCAGGGCTTTCAAACTGTTAAAATAGTTTTTCAAAAATTTGCCAACATTTTATTTCTTAACTGGTTCAGTAGTAAATAACTTGTATTTCAAATAACATTTTTGAACTGCTCTTCCAGAGTCAAAACACTTCAAAAATGATATCTGAGCAAGACTTGTAACCTCTAATGCACCAAAAAAACATAAACCTAAGAGGTCGAAGATCGTCACGGCTTGATTCTGTTTCTGAATGAGCTGCTGGCCGGCCTCCTCCTTCTGTCTGCGGGCCACTCGTGGACGTCCATGTGACAAAGCTAAGGCATTGCCACTTTGCCACTGCTCAGCTCTCCCCTCGCTCTGCCTCTCGCTTTTCCACATATTTGCACAGAGGAGAGCAAACCGAAGCGTGCCAATGAAGCTCCAAGCCAACTGGAGCACTACAGGAATAAACGTGAAGCAAAGATGAAGAGAAGGAGGAAAAAAATTCAATGAAGGAATGCTTGCAACGCAGATAATTAAAGACACGCCTCTGCTACTTTCTACCACAGATTTGTGCCTGTGTGTACAACTGAGTTGTGTGATGCAGTTTCATGTTCTAACAGTTTTTCCAAGCTTCTTTTTATGAACTAAAAATGTCCATGTCTCTGCTCCTTTTAAGAAATCTAGCAGTATGTCTGTTCTAACCGAGCCTTTTTATCTGAAAAAGATCTTCCGGATTCATAGAAGTGTTTAAGCTGTGAATCAAGCAATCAGACTCAGCGATATGTGGAAATATATTTTGTGACAAATATTTTACAATAATAACCCATCCATTAAACATTGCATGCATTGTTGGATATAATTCATGGATAACATTCGTTCGTTCACTTCCTCCGCTGCCATTGCTACACTTACATGCAGACAACAATTCTAAAACAGTGTAGAAAATAAATGTCAATAGTTGAAAACTTTTCCTTCGGTTTGTTGATTGGCCTGGTAGAAAGTCTAGTGGGGAAATTCAAGTGACGGGGAGAAATCCCATATTTTGCTGTGAAGGGAAATGAGAACTGAGAGGAATTCAATAGGAAAGCTACGATCTTGACAATATTACACGACTTTCAAAAACTATTTGCACTTTTACATATTTCTTCTGTTTTTATTTTTATTTCAAATTAATAATCTAGCACATTTTGATGACTTAAGGCCACAACGCAACTCCTTTTTTCTGTTTTCAAGCGGTGAACCTGCTGGTCTGCTTCATATTATGGTCCAACCGTATAAACTACAAGTTAAGTTTGAGATGAGAAACTTCTTCCCAGATGAACTCCAGCAGGGTTTTCTGCATGAGAGTAAAATTCGTAATTTTACCAATTATACCAAGTCATTCAACTCCTAAACAAGCTTATCATACATCCATCACCATGGTTGACTGCGAGTATGATGCTGTCTTCATGGAATATGGTGTTAGTTTTGAAATAGCAAGTATAATTTGCCTCTTATGTATTGGGAATTATCAAGAGGTTTTTTCTAACAAATGTGAGACGGGTGACTGTGTTGTTTGTGGGCAACAAAGGATTTAATCTTGGCATTGATACTGTTTTGTCTATAGTCCTACGTATTGTTTACTCGACAATTCGTAAATTGAAACACAGGAATTTCAATTTATAGCATTTAGTTGATGTCAATACAATATGAGCCACTTTACTAGAGGGACACCAAACCAAACATCGGTGCAAAAAAAAGGAACCTGAGATATTTTGGAGCTATTAGAGAAAGTAATAACTGCTGCACAGAGACATTTACCAAATACATTACAGAAAGTCAGTGAAAAGCTGAGAACCAATATGTTTTATGAGCAGGAGTAAAAATATTTTATCATCATTTCTTCATTTCCTTTTAACAGGTTCCCTTGAGATTCAGTTATAGGAGTCCTTTGAAGGATCACATGAGGGGAAATGAATCCTCCTACACCGTTATGCGGCGGCAGGCTCTAAAGTTCTTCAGGGATGGGAACAGCAAACAGGACCTTTCAAATGAATAGCTGCTTGCACAGTGCGTTGCCTAGCTGGCCTGCTATGCCTTGGTTTACGACTCATTCTCACAGCCCTTGAGGGAGGAGTCCATTACCAGCTGGTAATGGCAACGCATGGCAAAGTGAGACCCAAGACTCACAACTGCACCATTCTCACATACAAACCCTGCTAGGGACACATGAAACTAATTATGTGTTGAACCTGTTTACAGTAGATGGACGGAAAAATTTGCAGATACACACATTGCCTTCCATAAAAATGCCTGACGAACCACAGAGGTGCTATATTTGCTTCAGCTCACCCGTTTTACTTCTCATGCAAGTGCTACATAACCCAAAAGAAGCTAAAACCATCTGAGCAAACACTCCATTAATCAAAAACAACTTTCAAACTCTAGAAAAGGAAAAAAAACCACTTAAAGTAATTAAAATGTGTCTGTGTAATGTTATATTACCTGCCAGCTACAGACAGAGGACAGGCACATACATGAAGGATGAATTCCTGTCTGAACTTGCTTTGCAATGTGCAGGGGTTGTGCAGGCCTCCATACTGTCTGCTCATGGATAACTGGGATCCTGCAAAGGAGGACAGCATGTTTCGTTGTTCCTACATCTGCTCCCTAATCTCCAAAAATCTAAGTGATCCGACATACAAATGTCTGAAAATCTGACATTATTCCCAATGTGCTGACATCGAGCTGTCAACATAACCTGCGGTACTGTCTGTGTCCTTGACAATTTACTCCTGCCTCACGCACGTTTTTTCCACTCACAAGCGCACCATTCCTCCCTCTTGTTACCATGGCGCCCTGAATTGAGGTCAACCAGCATTTTTATAACTAACGCACGTGTGCCCAGATTCAACAGACAGATGCCGTCTCCATGTCCTCACGTGATGCTGAATAGGGCATTAGCACAGCCACGGAGCGATATTTGGTACAGCTTGCCCATACACGTGGATCCAGAGAGGGACTGTTGGCTCACAGTTCAAAATAAAGCCAGAAGTGAGAAAAGAGACGGATGAAAGACAGAGAGATTAAATAAATAGAGAGCGCAGAGGCCTGCATTAGTGCAGTAAGAACCAGTGGTCACCAGTGGATTGAAATAAAACATATGTTGTCCACATATCCACATCTATATGCAAATTCTTTCTGTATAATTTCCCTGTTAGCCTATGGAAAAGCGTAGTGTTTATATTTATGCTTGCATATGACACAGCAGGATGAATCATGAGGTTTAAAACTCTTAATCATTGTTAGGATTTTTATGAAAAACATGCTGCATCGAAAAAATATATATGACGTGGATTTATGTCAGAAATCATTTTTTTGGTTGCATTTGACAACAACATGCCAATAAAATCCTACCAGGTGACGTTTCAAAGAATACTTTAGATTTTTTAAGTTAAAAAATCTGGAGTTTGTTTGTTTCTAGAAAATTTTTGAGCCTGTTGTCATAAATTTACCGTATTAAAATTGCTATCAAATTTGGTCCTAAATGGACAATTGTTAGGTTTACAATGACTGAAATAATCACTAAAATAAATATGTTTATTTATTACAATTTTATGGAGTTTATACATAGTATAAACAGGTCAATATTTATTTTCTTCAGCACTGTAAAATTTATCCTTCCCGTTTATTGATTAAATATGTACGTATCCTCGGCTTTGTTTATGTTTCTACTACAGCTTTGTAAACCGCAGACCCAATCGATACCGGGACTCTCTGAACATGAACCGAGCCGTTTATGTGTGCGTTATCTCGCTAAGCGATGGCTCGCCAGCTACTGATTGAGACTTCATTTTCTGACCATAACAAAGCAACAACTCATTACCGTGTAAACATATGTCCGACATAATATCTAAAACTCAGAAATAATTGTGCTTTCTTAAGACAGAGGAGAAAAATTAATCAAGTGAACAGAAGGAAAATAAAACAAGCAGCTCCTCTCAACTGTGTTCTGCTGCTTTAGCACGATCAATGCCAGCTTTCCAGAGGGCCTCGTTTGTTCTCTCATGTCCAGGATGCTAAAGAGAATCAGACAGACACAGCTACCTTCAGGAGCTCCCTTTGTCAGATGATGTTAAGTTATCTTTCACCTCGACTGAGGTCACTCCGCTCACAGCGGTTCTGTTCAGATAAGCAGAAGGCAAACTGATCCTGAATCAGTGTCACCGGGCTGCTCCACCCTTGATCCTT